AGGGAGTGCTGCACTGCTTGGCTCGGAGATGGAGGGAAAGTCACAAAGAACCAGACCCGCCTTGTCCAAACCCTGGCCATCTGTGCCTCAGAGCTACCTCCCTCTGGTAACTTCACGACCGATCATTTATTAAAGACGCGAGCAGCTCTCTATGAAACAGCCCTCACCGCAAACACACAGGAGGCAATTTAACAGCTGTGAAAACATGCTGCCTTTAAATGATGTGCCCCAGGGTAGAGATGAAATCAGACACACAACCAGTGCTCGATCCTCTCTGAGACTTGACCCTCTCCAAGACTCAATCCTCTCTGAGACGCTGGGGGCTCCTCTCTCACCGCCCACCTCTGTCTGCTCCCTCCCGTTGCAGAGCCTGCTGTCTGCCCAGCCTCGGCCACAGCTACGGAAGATGAAGATGAACAGAGTTTCACCCAGATCACCCCACGCTAGAAAGAAGTTTCCCCCCGCTCCCCACCCCCTCCTAACCTCACGCCACTGGTGCGGCATCCCAACCAGTTTATCTCCTTCCCAAGGTGGAGCGCCGGAGAGCTGACTCAGGGGAACCACTCTCCCTGGCTTTGCCCTCAGCCAAACAGGCTCGAGCTGCTCCTCCTCCCAACCCTGCTGGCTCTGGAGAAGTTGCACCATCAAATAGCTCAGCCTAACCTCTCTTCTCCCTGGGAAGCCAGAGTTTGCAGATCTGCCCCTTCTGCCGCAGCTGAACCAGGCGGGGACAGTGCTGGAGAGGTGAGGATGCCAGAATTGGACCTCCCAGCAGTCTTCACCAGACCTGCCAGCCCCAGGGAAGCCACCACGTGCCACAGCCACCACCCAAGACCGAGCTGGCGAGAAGGGATGGCTTGGCAAGCCGACGGCCACTCTGTGTCCCCCGAACGAGCCCAGTGGTCAGCTGCAGCTACCCCACGAGCCCAGTTCCCTGGCTGCCCAGCCAGGCTGAGCCTTCCCCTGCTTTCATCTCCCCAGGCTGCCGCTCTTGGGTTACACCCAAGGTTATGGGGCGGCAAGAGCCCAGTACGTGACGGCCCACCCTGGCGCTCTGGCTATTGGTTCAAGCAGGCACAGAGAGGCCTGCCAAGGGGAGGGTCACCGGCTGCTACAGCTTCAGGCCCAGCCAGAAGCTCCGATGGCGTCCCTGAGCTGCCCGGAAGGGAGCAGGCAGAGAAACCAGAGTGAAAGGGCACGGGGGCTCCCATGCCACACCTCCTACGGAGGGGATGGGCACTGCCAGCAGCTGGGAGACAACAGGGACACGCGCAACCCCATCCCTATGGACCCAGACGTCCCACCGGCCCCGGTGCTGCCCTAAAAAAGTGCCCCAAAACTGAATTCCTTCCCCGTGGCAGCAGCTCCACCCTTTTTCCCATTATCCCTTCCAATCCAGTGACTTCAGCTCCGGCTCTGAACTGGGAGCGGCGGGAGGGAAGGAAAGGAGGCGAAACGTCAAAGCGCAACCTTCCCCCCTCCCGGGATGCACGTGGGCCAGGCAGAAGAGAGCCCGGCAGGCTCCATGACGGTGGAAAAACACTATAGGGAAAAAAGGAGCATGGCTGGACTATCATACAGATCAGCTGGGTCTCATCTTACTGAGGATTTACAATCCCAAAGCATTAGGTGCCAAAATAATGAATGTTAATGGGACATACACCACTGGGAAAACCGGCACAAAGTCCTGCCAGAACCGCTGCCCTCAACACAGTGCTGGGGCCAGAAAATCTTCCCCGGTGAGGTTCTCCCAAGCGAGCAAATTGCACAAGGCTCCTGTTTTCCTCACCAGCCCCGTTTTCCCTGCCACCCTCAGACACGGTCTCGCAGCTCTGGAATTGACTTTGAGCTATCCCTGTCATAGCGGGGACGGTACCGTAGGACGAGGCATCAGTTGATGCACAAAGTGCTTAAAGCTGCTTTTCTCCCCCTCCCCACAACCAAATCCAGCTTCCTCATCCGGTATAAAGAGCTTGGGATACTGGCAGAGAAGAGAATGGGGTTCAAACCAAATCCCCCCCGCCCCCATCCAGAGGAAAAGGCCTGCTGGTGGGAGGAGGAAACGTCCAGGAAAGCCAAACTGCTGGGAGAGATCCAGGTGCTGGAGACACAAGGATGTGACAGGATGCACCCCCGGCAAAATGCACAGCCCTGCAGCGCAGCTCAGGACTGTGGATGGCAAGGCTTTGGCTCAGGAAGAGGCAGCAGCAATTTTGCCTGGTTGCATCTGTACCCACCAGAGTTACATGTTCAGGCCCGCAGCTGGCCAGGTGGAGGCACTGGAAGAACTCCCAAGCAGCCAGGGATATGGGTGATGTCTGGAAGGACTGGCTTACACCAGCAGGTTAAGGAGAGGCAGCTGCCTGCTCTGGCTGAAGAAGGGCTACAGGGGAGGTGATAACAGCCTGCAAGTATCTGAAGAATGTAAACACCAAAGAAGGAAAGGGGTCGGGGTGGGAGCGAAGGAATGGCTCCTGGGTGGTACAGAGGCGCCGGGATAGAGAATTGGAGAAGAGGCTGCAGCAGGATGAGAAAGCCGAGTGTCCAAGGGGAGGGATGGTCAGGTGTGCTCCTTCCATCACCAGCCTTTGCCACTGCCGTGTCTCCTGCTCTTCCTGCTCCCAAAAGCTCCTCAGGACCGCAGGTCCTGGAGCACTGCTTCCCCTCACCTCCAAGAGATGGTCTGACGGGCTCTCGCCTCCCAGAAAACACAATGTCTCCTCTCCTCCAAAAAGGGAACCCGCTTCCTAAGGTGCGGGCCCCAGGCCAAAACACAAAGCAAAACTGCTCCAGCTCAATTTGGTGGAAGCAAAACTTCTATGCTGGAGCACACATGAGGCTCCTGAATCTGTATGTGCTGCAAAAGCAAGCGGGCAACAGGCTCTCCCTTTCCCACCGCCCCTGTGAGAAACGCCGGCAGGCACAGCCCAGCCTGTCACCTCCATTACCCCACTCTGCTCAGCAGCCTTCCTCTCGGGCCGGCAGACATCCGCATCGGGGAAGGCTTGCCCCAGGGCTGGGATGCTCCCTGCCCCAAAACCGCATCTGGTTCCCACAGGGAGCAGGAGCGCCCCACGCCCGGGGGGATGCAGATTTCGCATCCGACTGCGGTCATCGGTGCAGTGAGCTGGGCAGGCCTCAGCCCGGTCCATGCTTAGGCGCAGTGTTATCGATGCCTATCTAGGCGGGGTGCC